TATTCGGAATACCTTCATATGGCCAATGACGACGATAGCGGTATTGATGGATCCTCTCACCCTCAACTACCAACATGTATACAGAAAATATGCCGAGGAAACCCCCAACCCCCCACATTCCTGGACCCGATTGCATAGGAGGGCACGGAAGGTACCAGGGAAATAGAATATGAATAAGATACAATAATACATCACTCTTCTAACAATAACAGTACACATTGAATTAATCACAGTATTATCTAATGCCGACTACAACCCAACCTTCTCCCCTGGAAGATAAAAGCCACCACGTATGCTTGGCAGGAATCACAAGCGAATCACACGGGTATAGGAAGGTACCCGGTGTGGCAGCATCCTCAGCCGCCGCGATGGCCGAGTGTGGTGTGTGTGTGGGGGGGGGGGGGCTTGATGTCAATCTGCGAGGTCATGCGCCGTGAGACCGTGACGCCCTGTTCAACGTGTTTAACCACCACGGCCTTCTTAAAGGCTGCGGAAGGTGCAGGCAGCTGGCATACCTGGGCCTCACGACAAGGAGGCTCAGGTGCTTTAGGTTGTGGCGGTTAGGAGGCAGGAGAGGCGGCGGCGTGACTGGACCGCCTCGGTGTTCATGGGTTCCTTCTTTGGGCGCCCACCTTCATACGGAGACCCTGCTGATCTTCGTGCATTACTTCGGGAGTGTTTCACGTCCCGGCTCATGCTGCGCGAGCTGGTGATGGTTCACTGGGACCTGGATCAGCAGGCGTGATTGGGGCCCAAGGAAGGATCATCGAGATAGACGAGAGCACCTGGCCGTCTATCACACTTTGTAGATCCAGACACGCTGGCTCATACGAACACAAATGATGAAGGGGGATGACGAGGAAGATGTCTGTGGCGACGGGAAGAGGCATTTCGTCGGGCACGGTGCATGCTCCTTGCACTCCAAACGCCATTCTGTTCCCCGGCCTGATGACACAAAATTATATTAAGGAAAAAAAAGTTGATTAACAAAATTCATGGCATTTGGAAGATATAACACGGGGTCGTCTTCTACGCACCGTTCGTTCAAACAAAGAATTATGGTTCTCCCTCCCATGACAAATATTTCGAACTTCAGGACACTTTCAGAGTTGCTTGAGAGGTGACGCGAACTAACTAAAACAGCCAATTTTATGAATGTATTGTCGAGAATCTCTGTGATCAATATAATGAAAAAAGCACGAAAAAAAAAAAATCTTGATTATGTGATCTACAGGGCACCACCAACCTGCAAGAAGACGCGAGGCAGACTGTTTTGCCTTCACTGAACCCCACATCCATGAAATACTAGAAAGTTTTTATGCAGCGTACTGAATGCACCTCTTCTTGACCCACACATTACAACACTCTATCCAAAACGTAATCTTAAACACGTATTACAGTATTTCCGCTGAATTTACGGCGAATGGTTAATGGTTTATAACAAATTGATGTACTAGACATCATAGGTTACAGAACACTGGCAAAAAATCGTGTCGAAAAGGACAAAAATCAGTTATTACAAGAAAATGTGCTAGATGTCAAAGGCTGTAGAACGTTAAAGTGAAAAGGCGAGAATTAGTAAAAGGGGGAAGATGGGTCAAGGACGAAGGGCAATTAAGGTCAAATGGAGGGTATCTATGGATCTGAAGAAGAAACTGTCAAAGGAAAAGTATGTTTGTGAGAGGACGGGGGGAGGGGGTCCGTGAGGATATCCAACAGGCTGGGGGGAAATCAAGGAATATAGGACAAGGGAGGAAAAACAAAGATGCAGCAGAGAGGGAATAAGACAACACAACGCGAGGGACAAAAAGAGGAACCTTTATGAAGTAATCAACGGGTAACGAGCGTAGAAATGGGTGTCGAAGTAGGAGAAGACCCCAGCGACTGATTCAAACGACCAGGGGAAGGAGGTGAAGCGCCAGGAAGAAAGTCAGAAAGGAGGAAGACTGGAGAGCAGAAAGAAGACTGTATAGTGCAGCGGTAACGTGCTGGTCTTGCAATCTTGCTGATCTGCGTTCGATTCTGCACGCTACCAGTGGATGGCAACCCCGGCCATTCCTTGCACACAGGGGGAGATTTAGAAGGCAAAATAAAACAAACAGCATGGCACAGCAAAGAATATCCATTGTGACAAATGGACTTGAAACTAAATCTATAAATCTATAAATCATAAACTAGGAAGGAGGGGAAGGTATATAATATTGAAAAATGAAGTGACAGGTGGCCACGACCTACTGTCAGACATAAAATCAGTTCATTCTTTTTGGGTCAAAGGAAGATCGAGGAGCAAAGGTCGACACGGTGGTCCTTTTCCCGTCCCAGGTCATGGAAGGGGTCAGACGGACAGCTGGGAAGGGACTTATTATTATTGTTATTATTACTACTTTTGTTATTATTATCATTATTAATGTCATTATCATCATTATTATTATTACCTCTGCTAAGGAGGCTGTGTTTTTTGGTAGCACTGGTTAGTTGGTTAGTTTGTTTGTTCGTTGGTTAGCAGGATTACTCAGAGTTATGAACAGATTTTAATGATTTTTTTTTTTTTTTTTTTTTTTTTTTTTTTTTTTTACCAGAGGAGTGTCTTAGTCCATCGTCGAAGCCATTTAAATATTGATGGTGATCCGGATCCAAGATTTTATTTAAAGGATTCATTAGCATTGCGAGAAACACAGACTTCACATGTGCACTTGAGAAAGAGGTTATTTTGATGTAATTTTTCAGATGTGAATGTTTTTATTGTGTTATTTTTTTCTTGTTGTCATTATCATTACTACTATGATTATTATTATTATTATTATTATTATTACTATCATAATTATTATTATTACTATTATGATTATTAATCTTGTCAGTCATTATTAATATTATCATAATTATTATTATTATTATCGTTATCATAGTTTTGTTAATATTATTGTTTTTGCTATTATTATTACTATTAATGTTGTTATCATTACTGACATCATTATTATTATTAATTATATTATGCATTATCTTCATTGTTCTTGTTATTATTATAATTATTGTTATTATCATTACTGTCATCGTTATTATTATCAATTATATTATACATTATCTTCTTTGTTTTGTGTATTTCATATTTTACCTCGCACCCCGTTATCTTTGGAAAGACAAGCTAGTACCAGAAGCAGTGAGATGACAGTTGCATGTCACTTCAAATGCTATGTTGCTGCCCAGGTCTTTGTCTTCCGCAGTAAAGGAAGCTTACAAGAGCTAGTCTTTCCTTACAATCTCAACATTCCACCTTCATTGTGAAAAATAATTCCAGAGCCTCTTCCTAAATGCTCACCAAGTCTAATCTTCCTCCATTTGCTCTGTCCACTCAAGGCAAGTCATTCCTGTCACAGAGCCCTCAGCCCAAATTTTCCAAGATGGCAAAGTCACATTACCCAGCTCACAGATCCTTCTTTCCGGTGATGGTCGTGTCACTAGAAGTCTATTTTGTTTACACGCAGATGGTTTCACAAGACCTTTAGTCACCTTGGAAGTCTATTGCTAGGTGTACTTGCCTTCTACCTTTAAATTTGTGAAAAAAGGTTTCTGTTTTTATTGGTATTACTACTGTTAATAAAATGATAATAATGATATAAAATTATCATAATATCATTAATAATGATTATAATAATAATGGATTTCTTATCTCCAAAAAATGGTAAACAGATAACTTTAAATGACTTTAGTGACTGAAGTGTGTAAACAACAATAAAATAAGAGCACAGTAGACTAAAAATTACATGGAATCAGTAGGGTACTATTATTAATTTCTTCAAATTTCCTTCTTAATATACCAATGCACTAAACATGTATCGTTTTGAAATTACAATACTAAAACAGAAATATTCGTCTGTAAATATATTTTAATATATAAGTAGATTGGTGAAAGGCAGATTATGTACTGGTCAAGATTTAAAAGATTATGCTTATTACTCAAAATCTGCCATGTTGAAAGCTCTGCACGAAATACAAACCATATCAAGAGTGATTTTGAAAAATCATTTTTAAAGGGCCAAAGAATTTTTTTGCTGTTGTTAATCAAGGACACGGTTTACTTTTCTTCTCTTAATATTTTTTTTTTTTCTTTAAAGGCAGATTTACTTATTCTAATATAACACTAATAATCCTCTTTTTAACCTCTTCTTTCATTTCACTACGTAATCATAAACTTAGTAGCTCTATTAAAAAAAATTGATTATAAAAAAATAAAAGACCAGGTAAAAAGGGAAAATAAATTACGATGCTAAAAGGGGGTAAATAAAACATTCCTTATAAATCAATGTTTCTTATTTTTTCCCGTCTTCTAGTTCTCCATCTCCCCAATTACCCAGTACCAGTATCTTGGGGTTTCAGCAACATGCCCCATTGCCAAGCTTTACAATAAGTGGTTTTGCTTTCACTCCACCTCCTAGTAACTCTATGAAGCATATATAAATGTGAAAAAGGAAACCGTCGCAGACACAGTTTTGCGTGACAATACACGCCTGCATGACGACACACGACACGTACAAACAGTCAGCTGTCTACTGCGAATTTCACCACCCCCACTGACATGCCAGGCGAGAGGAATTGTGACATTCCGTGGGGAGGGTCAGCATCACCAAACAAGACATACGTAGGAGCTTCTATACCATCTGCCATAATGGGGTTAGACTTTCTTTTTTTTTCTTTTTTTTAAGCCAAAGCAACAAATGTTGGAGAGAGGTATAGAAACCCATCATTCATGTAGATTTACAACACGGCGATAAGAATGGCTTTGAAGTTATTTAGTTGAAACGTTAGAATTCATCTGAATGAATGTGCACCAAGTTTAGAATACAACAAAAGAAGGAATAAATAAATTAACTAAAGCATACAGAGCTGTGATGCCATGACAGGAATACTCCAGATCGCACTGTGCATCCGCAAGCATTATCAAGACACATAGACAGCATTGTTGCACAATCACTTTAATGCGCTCTGGAGAGGTGCATAGGTAC